GCTTCCAGACCTACGATGATGCAAGTACCACTCCTCATATGACGCAATTATTCAAAGATGCATTGCATGCACAAATGGCCGAAGAAGCCATGCAGATTACCTATACATCGATCCCCAAGGGATCCCCGGCAAAAGCCAAAGGTACATCTGCACTCTCAAGTGCCGGATCGTCATCAGCGCCCAAGGCAATGCCACCAGGGCCTAACAAGGCAAACATGTCACCTCCACCTAAGAGTCCTCCGCCAAAGGCGAAAGGAACAGTACCTTCAGATCCTCCAAGACCAAAAGGTCCTACCAGAAGAGGAGGTCAAAATCGGCGCATTCAACGAAAGGCAGCTAGAGAAGCCCACAACAGTGGACTCTGCACCTATGCAGACGCTGCACTTAACGAAGCCAATCAAGGCCAGGCAATTAACGTTACATGCCGAAACATGGCAGCAAGACACGTCAGCTCTATCGATGCAACGGTAGAAGCAGGCGGCCAGTTTACACAACGCGTGCTACAGCACGTAGAAACATATGATGAAGAGGAACCGTGGAGCACGGAGTTCCTACCAGTCGTGGAAGTCCTATTCAGGAACTTAAGCGGCGACGAAGCAACTGTCATACATGACAATCAAACGGTAACTATGCCTCTTGCGAAATACACAGACCTCCTCAGAATCGCACAATCATTGCGAAGCTATATCCAGAGAGACAAGGAGGAAAGGAAGGAACATCTTGACACCATCCAAGATACTCTATCCAGAGTGGAAATCCTTCTAACAGCACTGAAGGACTCAAGGACAGTCTTTAACCAATTGGTCCATTCCTCACTAGAGATAGAGCGAAGAAATAACAATCTCAAAAATGTCCTCGAGACACTCTTTGACGACCAAAGCTCTGAGGAAGACCAGTCAGGATCTGACAATGAAGAAGTCCTAACTCCTTCTGCAGCACAGTACTGGAATAGCCTTTATGCCCACGTCTTATCTCCTTCAGGAGATGAAAGTGAAAGATCATGGGCGTCCTCAGACGGACAGCTTGAAAGAAGAAGGGCTGAACGGGCAAAGGCTAAGCAGCCGCAACCGGCTAAAGCCAAGGCAACTCCAGTCAGCTCACAAGCTGCTCCAAAGGCCGAGCCAAAGGCGACAACATCCAACCATGGATATGATACTGCAGACACCGCCTTCACCAGGGCTGAGAACAGATTACTCGGAATCTTTTCAAGTTCCGAAGAAGATCACTCAGACCCGGATGAGCCACATCCGAACGTCTATGCTCGAGCCTATGATCAAAACCTGGATCCGAATCTGAGATAAGAAAATTCTCAGAGTTTCACAACAGTGAATCACAAAGCTCTAACAAGAGCACAATGAAGGGCTGCATAATTCGGTAGAAGAACATTACCAGACCTGATCTTGTACAGATGATCTCTCTGACCAACATGCATGAGTGTGTGCAAAAGGAGTGACCTCAACAGTGTACTTCAGTGCCATACCTAGCATAAACAATATGCTGTTTTTATCATGAGTCCAAACTCCGCAACTGTGACAGTGGGCATAATAGTATATGTGTGAATGTGCGGCCATGCTTCCGGTAAAAGAAAATTAGTGTCTGTTTGTTTGCGTAAACCTCTACAGGGGTAGCTCTAACAGGTACCTACAGCAATGGCTGCATGCTCATACATATACATTCCGCTGCCCATTGGCTCACAGTGGTTTTACCATATTGAGACAAGACAAGCTCTCCTTGCGTAGCAAGACAAAACAACTACTTTCCGTGTGCAGGGCGCTGCCCTTTGATCCTTAGGGAATAAACTGGTCATACACCTCCTAACAAGGAGCATTTCCTTGTGGGTG